GAGGAAGAGCAGGAGGCGAGCGGGAGAAGCCAGGGGCCGGGCCACACAGTGCCCGGGCCAGGGGGCTTGGACTCTCCGAGGGCACTGGGGAGCCACAGCAGAGCTGTGAGCAAGCAGGGAGCGGGGTCAGTTCTGGGGCTGTGCAGAGACAGACTGGGAGGGGCAGATGCAGGCGGGGCTGGAGAGGAGGGGACGGGGGGGCGGGGGGGACCACCAGGCGGTGGGTGAGGGGAGGCACCGCGGTCACGGCGTGACTGTCGAAGGGGACACCCAGGTGGCAGCTGGTGTGTCCTCTCCAGAGAGAGGCCTGGCCTCATCTGGGCGCCACGGAGTGGCGAGACCTGCTCACTTAACGTAAGAGAATTCGGCTCCGCAAGCTTGGCCGGCACAGACACAAAACCCAATGTGTTTCGTCCCAGCCCGTCCCTAACACATGCTCTTCCTGCTTCTCGCCTTCCACCGGAGAGATGGCAACTCGTTCCAATGCAGGGGTGTGCCCCGTGCGGGCCGGGCTCCGAAGAAGAGCGAGCACAGTCGCGCACAGCCGTGTCATCCGTCCCTGCAGGTCATCTGAGCGATTTCCCTGCTCTGCTGCCTTCGGTGGCATTTCTCCCTAACTCTCAGTGTAAGATGGGCAGACAATGCGTGCATTTATTTAAAAAACAGCAGCCCGGGCAGCTCAGCAGGTTAAGCGTCTGACTTCAGCTCAGGCCATGATCTCACGGTTCGTGGCTTCAAGCCCCGCATTGGGCTCTGTGCTGACAACTCAGAGCCTGGAGCCTGCTTCCGATTGTGTCTCCCCCCCCCTCTCTCTGCCCTTTCCTCCCTCACAATCATTCTCTTTCTCTCAAAATAAATAAACAATAATTTAAAAATTTTTTAAATAAAAACTTAAAAAAAGTAAAAGGCTGGAACGTGAAGGAATATTCCATAGTAGCTGATGTTGAAATGCCCGGCTCGGTCCTGGCTTGGTGCCAAGAGCCTCTTAATCCTCGTGTTGACTTTCCGAACCTTTCCTCCATCTAGCCGGGCTCACTGAGAGCGTTCCCCCAGGGCATAGATTTTGGCCAAGGGCTCATGGTGGGGCCCGGCCTTGCCCTGCTAGGGGACCCAGCAGTCTTGAAGTCATTTTGTGCGTGAATGAAGGAGCCCAAGTGAAGAGTGTCTAGTATGAGCCCCAGAGGGCACTGATGGGGTCTCATTTCCCTCCGTGGGGACACCAAGGATGGGGATGGGGTTCAGGTGAGGAGGGGGCAAAGTGTGGAGGAGGCCCCAGACTTCTTTCCCCCAGGGAGGCTCCGAGTATTTGTCTTGTGGTAACACTTTTCTTGACAATTTCATATGCAAACCGTTTTTTTCATTATGGAAAAGTCCAAACCACTGTGGGAAGAGAAGACCTTGATGAGCTCCTGGGCACCCCCAAGTCTATAATGATCAACAGCCAATCCCCATTCATCCAAACACCCCCTGCCCTCCCACCACCGGGTTATTCGGAAGCGAATCCTAGACATACCATCTGGAAATGCTTTAGCGTGTGTCTAAAAGATAAGGACTTAAAAAAAAAAATCATCGTAGCAGGAAAGTTCCAAGGCTGCAGCTCAAATCGTCTGGAAATCCTTGAGCAAGTCCATTACTCTGTGGCTCAGATAAGCAAACTGGTGAAGTGGTTGCTAAAAGCGGTTGGTGGCCTCGGAGCCCACGGGGCGAGAGTGTGTGTGTGCATGCGTGTGTGTGTGTGAAAAATACAAATACCTGGACATCAGCCCCGGGCCCCTGAACCCAAAGAGGTCTGGGGAGGGCCCGGGAGCCCGTGGGGAGGACCATACCGGAGTTGAATGGCTGGGGGGGCGGGCGTAGTGTATGGCTGGGGGAGTGGGGTCCCAGGCGGCCCCGCTTAATCCTCGGGGCGCTGTCCTGCCCGCAGATGTTCGGGCAGCGGCGCAGCGCGCAGGCGCTGGAGCTGGCGCACATGCTCTACTACCGCAGCACCTCGAACAACTCGGAGCTGCTCAGCGCCCTGGCCCTGCGCGCGCAGGAGGAACACGCCAAGGAGGCGCTGCTGGCGCACAGCTTCCTGGGCCGGCTGCCCCGCCCTGCAAGCCGCGCGCCCGAAGGTAGGACTTGGCCCCGGGACCCCGCCCCCGGGGGCCCCGCCCCCACCCCACCCTGTCGCGGTCCAGAGGTGACGTGGCCCCACCTGAAACAAACTCCAAGACGACCCTACGGGGTCAAGACTCCGCCCCTCTCCCCAGTCCCAAGTGGCCCCGCCCCATTGAGACACCATCCCCCTCACCGCGGGCCCAGTACTCCCAGCTCCCACTGGTGAGTGACCAGTATCCCAGGTGACCTCGGCGCTCCGCCTGCCGATGGGACCCCTGAACCCAGCTTCCCATGATGGATCTGGTCCTTCCCTGGGGTCACCGACCTCCCTATCCTGAGCTCCCGAATTAGGGTCTTGGATCGTCAATCTGTTGTGGCATTCCTTCCTCTGCTCCCACCTTCCCCAGCGCTCCTTCCAGCAGACTCGTGCCCCTCCCCCTGTGAGCCCCAGGTTGACAGGAACCCCCACCCTTCCCTGAACAAGAGTCTCTGACTTGTCCCTAGACGAGAGCCCGAGTTGGACCCCAGCCTCATGCGGACCCCCAGGCTTCTCCCAAACCCGGACCCCTTGTATTCCTTGCCCCGCGCCCTCCCTGCTGTCCCTTCCCGGTCCTTCCAGGCCCCAGTCGCCTCCTCACAACACCTGCTTCTCGCCCGCCCTCCACTGCAGAGACCTCCCGATGGCTCCAGTCCGAGGTAGAGAGCTGGCTCCTGGCCCAGTCGGGCTGTGACGTGACCTTCAACGGAGCTCGGGCCATGGCCCACCTGCAAGCCCTGACCCCCAGCATCGGGATGTACCCGCCCCCGGGTTTCCCCAAACTAGACCCGTTGCCTACAGGCATTCCCGAGGCCCCGCGGTCCGCACCCACGGACAAGCCCTGAGCGAAACCACTGCCCGGCCTCCGCCCGCCGCCTGGTTAGGAGCTAAGCCCCGCCTCCTCCCCGCCGAGCTGTCAATCACAGCCACTGATGCTTTGCCCCTCCCCAACTTCCACTTACCCACAAGCTATCGCTTCCGTTACACCGTATTCTTAAACAAAGCCGGCAATTGAGGCAGCCTGCGGTTGCTAGGCACCCCCCCCTCCCAGCACAACCAATCCAAGCTTTTTGGCTCTGCGGCTGGGCCATCGCTTAGTCCCACCTCCCGCCGTAAACGTCCAAACGCGGTTTGGCCGAGGAGGGGTGTCAGCCAATCACAGCCGTTCAGTGCTGCAAACCACTGGGCACGGTGGTTAAACAGTACCTTCCCGAGGCCATAGATCATCGTCTGTTTAGCCCGCTCCGGGCACACTGCCCAACTTGTTCATCAAGGCGGGGCCCCAGGCCACAGCCAGTGGGAGCCGGCTAGCCCTGCTCTCTGGCAAACTGCCGACGACAGCTGATGGGCACTGTCGTGCACCCTGGGCTGCCAGTCGGTGCTGCGAAGAAACCAATCCGCATTTCTAAAGGAAACCTGATCTTTTCTATGAATTGACGCTGCTGTAAAAGGCAGGCTGCCTGGCTAACTGTCCATCGGCTTGTCCAGGCTGAGGGGGTTGGGAGCCTTGTGTCAGGCAGAGCACCGTGGGTCAGAAGCAGCGACTGACTACCCTCACTCCAAGATGCATTTCCACTCAGGCCCCAACAACCTCAGGTGCCTTTCCTGCCCGGGCCCCTCGCCCTTTCTGCAGAAACTACCTCGGTCTGGATCTTTCTTCCACCAGTGGCCTGTGCAATATTTATTGGTCTATCATTTCTCCCTCGTCCACTCTCCCAAAGGAATAAATCATGTTCAATGAACCTGGATGAGAGGGGTTGCTGCAGGGGTTGGAGAGAAGGAAAGCATCAGATTCCTTGAAAGAAGAGACTGGGTCTTGGGGAAAACTGCCCGGGGGCGGGTCCTAGGCAGAAAAAGCTGTCACCCTAGGGAGAGACTGGGTTTGCAGCTGGTGAAATAGACCAGCTGTGGTAACAGAAGAGGATCTTAGAGAAGACCTGGTTCCGCAAAGGACTGGGTCTTATGAACAAGGGAGGTGGGGCAGCCATGTGCAGCTGTGCAAATTGTTTACTGCACAAAGGTGCACAGCCAGGGCACCGGTGTGTAAAATCCAGTCATTCCTCCAGCCCCTACATGCCTCCCGGTGGGGCCGAGTGAGCCTGGAGAAGGTGGGGGGAGATGGCAGCTAATTTTTACTAAGGTGTCATATGGGTTAGAGGCAGAATTGGATGCGGGAGGGGAAAGAAGAGGGGTTGTCCCAATAAGGAAGGAGACTGAGTTCCAAGAGGGAAATAGAAAAGTGTCTTCGTTGGGGATGGAGGGGGGTGGTGGAGGCCGAGACCAACAATCTAGAACAACACACATCCTGCCTGGTTGAGAGAAAGACACCCTTGTACAAGGAAAGAGGACAGGAAATCCACAGCCTTGGTTCTTCCCCGCAAGTGCCTTGAAGTCTAGACTCAGGAGGAATCCTGAGACGGGAGGGCCCCGGGGCCTCCGGTCTGCATAAGGGGAAAGATACACCGGACTCCTGTGTCTTGCTTTAAAAGGGACCGGGGGCCGGGCGCTGTGGATTCTGAAGGCTGCTGCTGGAGGGCTGTCCCCGGTTTAGGAGACATCAGGGGGCGCCTGGGTGGCTAAGTCGGTTAAGCATCCGACTTAAGCTAAGGTCATGATCTCGCGGTTCGTGGGTTCGAGCCCCGCATCGGGCTCTGTGCTGACAGCCAGCTCGGAGCCTGGAGCCTGTTTTGGATTCTGTCTCCCTCTCTCTCTGACCCTCCTCTGCTCACGCTGTCTCTCTCTCTCTCTCTCAGAAATAAATAAAAAATTAAAAAAAAAAAGAATTCATTAAGGAGACATCAGGCTCCAGCAACCTGGGTCCCTGGAGGAGGCAGGCAGGCAGGCAGGAAGCAAAGACAGAGCAGACGGTTAAACGGTTTTATTTTCTGGAGGACGCGGCGGGGCGGGGGCTTCGGGGTGAGACCGAGGGGGCGGGAGTGGGCAGGGGGGCTGCAGGGCGACGCGGGACTCTCACTCTCGCTTCCGCAGGTGGATGTAGATGATGCCGCTGGCTAGGGCGAGGGGGAAGGCCACCCAAGCCAGGGCGAAGCAGTACCCGAAGCTGCCCCCCGACGGGCGCTCGGCCAGGATCTCCTCGGCGTGAATGGCGTAGATCAGCGCGCCTGTAAACACGGCCACGCCTGCGGGGAGACGGGGAGCGGCTGTCACGCAGTGTCCGCAAGAAGACTACATTTCCCAACAAGCAACGGGGCAAAGAAGCCTGGGGAAGGCCGGTGCGCAGCACCGCTGCCTTCTGGGAGTTGTGGTTCACTCGATGCCGTGCAACGAGGCTACTGCAGACAGGCTTAGGGCAATTTAGTTCGTCTAGCTGGGTGCCCTTTACTCATCCATAAAATGGGACGGTACTATCTGCCCATCCTTCCCTCCCTCCCTCCCTCCATCCCTTCAAGGAATATTTTTTTTATGCCTTTTTACGAGCTAAGCACGCAAAGAGTGATTTAAGACGACAGGCGCTTTGTAGGAACCAAGAAGGTAATATTCCCGAAGCTGAGGACTGTAATAATTTAGGTCTTTGCACCTGAAGTCAGAAAAATGGAAAAGTAGATAAACACCCTTCTCAAGTGTCTGATACGCAGTGGGTCCAGCCAGAAACAGAAGCTGGCTGCTGTTATAAAACCACTACAGTTATGATTCAGAGTTCTCTCCTGGAGTATCACTTAGCCACTGTGTCTGCCCTCCCATCCCTGGGATCTAATTATTGACCCACACCACCCTTCCCAGTTCTGGCTCCTCGAAGCTCTTAAGTGTCAGCCTCCCCATGACTCGGAGACACAGACTGGAAACCACGGAATCAGTGGAAACCACCAAGTCACCCAGGACAGACAGGTAGCCCATGGAAGCCCTTCAGGTGGGCCTCGGGCTGTCGATAGTTGCCATCTTTGACCAGAGGTCCATCCTCAGGGCCCCCAGCACACTGACAGTGCCCCTCCCTGCCCTCTCATTCCCCAGGGATGGTGCTCACTGGTGCAAAGCTGGCAGAGGCCAGTGGCGTAGAAGAGCCCTCCTCGTCTCATGGTGTAGAGTTGGAACATGAACAGGATGAAGGACAGACAGCAGAGGATAAGGGAAAGCACCATGAGGACCTGAACCGCCTTGAGCCAGCCTGCAATAGGAGGGGAGAGAGGTGGGAGTCGCTGTAGGTTCAGGGTACCACCTCCACCTGTTGGCTCATCGCCCCGTGCAAAGCCCCACAAGTTTGGTGACCACCTCTATTGACCTTGATTCCTGGAACTTATGCTAAATTCCCTTATCAGTTCTAGAAGCTGCTTTGAAGGTTCTGTGGGCTTTTCTACATGAACATGTCCCCCGGAATAGAGACATTATTATTATTATTATTATTTTACATCTGCCTCTCCCAGCTTTACACCTTTCTTTCTTTTCTCTTGCCCTGTTGCATTGGCTACCTCCAGGACAACCCTGAATAGAACTGGGGAGAATAGTTCTTCTTGCTTCGCTCTTTGGGGAAAAGCATTTACTCTTTCATTTTCAGAAACGTAGAGGGGTACGTGCCACTCCCTTCTAGCTCAGATGCATCAGCACCATCACCACCACCGCCTTGTTCAGGACCTTGGAAGGATTTAGCCCCACTCTTTCAGAACCTTAATGTGGCTCCAGCTCAATCCCTTGGAACTCAGACAAACTGGTGCCAGCCATCCTTTCCAAACATGTCTCTTCTCCTTAGAGCCTTGAAAACATAACCCTACCTCCTCAGAATCTTGGGAGCTTTCTCGCCATTCCTTAAACCTATAGCATGTGACTCCACTCTTTCTGGAATCAAAAGGGAGGGGGGCCTTTAGCCCACCGTCCTTAGAACAGGAACATGGCGCCCCCTACCACCCTGAGAAGTGGGTCACAATCAGCCCCACTCACTCAGCTTTGGGGCCCAGACCTGCCCTCTCAAACTCTGAAGGGTTCCTAAGTCTTGGTTCTGGGAAGAGACCGCGGCTACCCCTCCCCTTGCAGACGGCCCCCGACGCCCCTCACCGTTCTCGCTGACGTTAATGCAGTCCCACGTTTTGTTGTCGTTGTTCCACGTGCAGTCATACCAGAGATTGAGGGACTCCTTCCCCGGGAGGGTCCACCAGGACTGGGATGGACCGAGAGGCAAGGGCAAGGTTAGGAAGGGAGAGAGCGCAGGGTCAGGGAGACTGTGGGGCGGGGCGGGAAAAGGGTGAGGGGCCGCAGGGCGCTGAACTGGGGGGAAAGCATGGATTTAGTAAGAACGGGGGGGGGCGGGGGTAGTCAGGGAAAAGGGCAGGGTAGACGCGTCAGAGGCAGAGTGCAGAAGGGGAGGGGCATGGGGAAAGGGGCGGGGCCTCAGAAGAGGGGCGTGGCGGGAGTCTGCGGGAAGAGACTTACCTTGTCCAAGGTGGCCACGAAAAGCAGGATGAGAATGAGGATGTGAAGGGCAGAGACCACTAGCAAGAGGACTGACATGACTACCGCGGGTGGGGGTGGGGGGTGTCAGGCGATGGTGGTTTCAGGAGGTCGGGACAGGGGCGTCTGAGATGCTCCAAACCTGGTGGAGAAGGGGGCTGAGTCCAGACTCCAGGGTGTGATGGAGGAGAGGGCTGGGAATCTGGACTCTGAATCCGCGTGGGAACGGGGCTGGGGGCCTGGCCTCCTGGATTCCCCAGGGGTTGGAGCAGGCTAGGGGTGGACTCTTGGGTCCGGGAGTGAGTTGGACCCAAGCAGTGTCGCCTCAAAGTCCCGACCCTGAGCACATAGGGGCCAGGATATGAAAATTCAAGTTCATACCATTCCAGATTCATCGGAAGCTGGGGGCTTCCCCCCAGAGACAGGCATCCTTGAGTCACCCCCCTCCTCTCCCGGGGTGGGGAGGTGGGGGACCCGGTGAGTCACCCGGTGACTCATCCCTCCCCCCACCCCTGCCTCCAAGCACCAGGGAAACCCCAGCTCCTGGCTATGCCCACGAGGTCCCCACCCCACCCTGCTGCCAGACTGGTGGCAGACTAGACTGGACATCTTGTGGGAAAAATGGGCAAGATCCGTGTTAGAGGTGGGAAGCTGGGGCCGGGGCGGGGAGAGGCCTGAGAGGAAGTACTCAGCCTCCCAGGACCCTTCAGTGTCTAGAACGCGGTGTGTGTGGGGGGGCCTGGAGGTCCCCCAGACTTGGGGTGTTCTTGGGCAAAGTCCTGGGCTCAGGGTCCTCAAGAGAGAGTGGACAGTCGTGGGGGAAAAGCTAAAGAAAGCTTACCAGTGGAGGGCTCTGCTGAGAACCCCAAAACCTTGCCGGGCCCCACCCCTTCCCGAATCTCCACCCCAAGTGCTAAGAGATCTCTTCTTAAATGACAAGGATTTCCATGGGATCGGAGAGTGGGGGCGTCTCTCCCAGCCTGGGGGTATCCTTCTCAAATTGCTGCACTCCCAAGGAAAGAAAGAAAGCCCAGTCCGAATAACGGACTGGAAACTTACCGCGAGCGGCAGAAAAAGTCAGAGTTGAAGTCTCGTCCCCTGCGAGGGCCTCCGCGCCCCGCCCTTCTCCTCCCTCCTTCCACCCTCTCAGGCCCCCGCCTCTCTCCTCTCTCGCCGCCTTCCTCCCTCCCTCGCTCTCCCCTCTGGCTCTCTCCCTCCTTCTCCCCTTCAATCCGGAACTCTCTCTCTGTCTCTTTCTTTTTCCCTCCTTTCCTTCCTCTTGCTCTTTCCTTCTGCCTCCTGTCTCTCTCTCTCTCTCCAGTCCTCACTTCCCGCACCTCCTTCTTTCGCTCTCTTTCTCACCCTCCTGGTTTCTCTCTCCGCTCCTCTCAATATATACTGACCCTTTTATACCCACCCGCACCGCGCCCAGCTGAGGTCTGCAGCCGGAGGGAGGGCCTAAGCACTTGGGTTCCTCATTCTCTGGGCCCCCACCCACTGCCCCCGGACAGGCATCTTCTGGGGCTCCTTTCCAGGATTGAGATGAGAGCTTGGAGCCAAGGGAGTCGAGCAGGGCCAGGGTGCAGCAAGAATCAAAGAAGGGGAGGGCCGGCTCTCAGGCCTCTGCTCTGGGTCTTGCCCCGGACCGGATGTCTGCTTTCCTTGATGGTGCTTAGGACTGGATACTCCGAGGAATGGGGGTCTGGCGGAGGAGACCTGATTCCTGCTGCCGGAGTGGGTTGAGAGCTGGGAGAGCCGGCCCCATACTGGGAGTCAAGGGGTAGAAAATGCGAACACAGGCATCTCCGCAAGGGGGAAGGCGGTGGGACTTAATCCAGGTACCACCATTTCCTGCCTGGGGGATCTTGACCAATTATTTAAACTCTCTGGGCCTCGTTTTCCTAATCTGCGATATGAGTGCAATGATACTAATAATACAATATACTGGCAGTCATACTTTGGATACTCATAAATTTAATAATCATAACATGAATAAGGTAGGGGCGCCTGGACAGCTCAGTTCATTCAGTGTCAGGATTTCGGCTCAGGTCATCATTTCATGGTTTGTGGGTTTGAGCCCCTCATCAGGCTCTGCATGGACAGCTGGGAGCCTGGAGCCTGCTTTAGATTTTATGTCTCCCTCTCTCTCCGCCCCTCCCTCTCTCAAAAATGAATAAACATTTAAAAAGATAAATGAACATGGTAATACCAGTACACTAACACACCTACACATTCATTCCTTTCTTCATCAAACATTTATTGAACATCTGTTAGGAACCAGGAGGTAAGAATAAAGAAAACAGATGCGATGCCTGCTCTTACGGAGCTTGCTTTCCCAGTAGGGGCAGACAGACTTTCAAGAGGAAACCCAGCAATGAAGACTGATCCATTTCAGACAGTGCTTAAGTGCTCTGCAGGAAATAAAATAGAGTGGAGGTGACAACGGCCATGTGGGAGGAGTCTACTTAAAACAAGATGATCAGGCAAGACCTCTGTGAGGAGGTGACATCTAAGCTGATACCTGAGGACAGGAGTCCTTTCAGTGCTGGAGGAAGGAGAAATGCAGGGCTCCGGAGAACAAGCTCAGGTTGTCTGGTGAACAGACAGAAGGGCCAGTGTGGCTTGAGGGAGTGGTAGGAAGGGAGATCAAAGAGGGCCCTTTGAAGAACTAGGGGAGGAGTCGGATTTTATTCTAAATGCAGTGACAAGCCACTGGAGGGTTTTAGATAGAAGAGCAGCCCCCAGGGACTTAATGTTAACTATTTCTTCTTATTATTATTGCTTATTGCTGAGTTATTGAATTAGGGTGGGGGTGATTATTATATACCTGGGTCTCTCGGAAGGTTTAGGTGCTAGTGAAAAGTGAGGGGCAAGGGACCAGGTGTCTGGGGTCCTGACATGGAATTGATTTGGAGAATTGAAATTCTAGGTTCCTACAAGGGAAGAAAACTGGCTGATGGGATGTCTGGTATCTTGATGGTGCAGAAGAGTGCATGGTCATCTCAGCTCCCTGAAGGGGTGAGGGCTGGGCAGTTCAGTGACTAGATAGGTACTCAGGAGACCCAGGAACTGGGGCACCAATATGGCAGTCTGTAGAGGCCCATGGGCTGCTTTCGAATCCAGGGTGCTACACTCATTAGCTGTGAGTTTGGACAAGTTACTAATAACCTCTCTATGTCTGTTTATCTGTAAAATAGGGATAATAACAGTAAGTACATCAAAGGGTATTTCTTAGAGTGTCCAGCACATAGTATGTGCTTGTTATACCAAGCATTGGAACCCTGAATGGACGTAGTATCGGGGGAACTCTAGTTCAAGATCTCTAGGATTTGGGGAAGGGGAAAATTCTTAGGTCCATTGCGCCCCAAGGCTAAGTAGTTGAGAGTACAAAATGAGGGTCCCTGGGGGTGGGGAATAAGTAGTCCCAAACTTGAGTCTTTGAGAAGGACAGAGATGGGGGCCAGGGTCATTGAGGGGAAAAAAAAATGAGGCTGGAGGGTCACATGCTCTTCATGGAGTACAGGCAAAGGAAACCAGACTGGCCCTGGAAGGAGTCTGGAAACCAGGGGCTAGGGAGATGGAAATGTGAGTGAGCAAGGTGGAAATCAGGAGGCTAGGACTCGAAATCCAGTTCCTGGGGTGGAATGAGCGCCCGACTTGGGGACCTTGGGAATGTGGAGGAGGTCCCTCGTGCTAGGAGCCTGTGGAAGGGGGAGAATCAGGGAGCCCCAGGGCGGTAACGGGATCTCCCCGTCTTGGGCCTCCAAGGCTTCGAGCTGAGCTGAGCGCCCACGGGCTGCTTCCTCCCACAGGAAACCGCAGGCTTCGGGCACACCCAGCCGGCAGGGAGCGGCGCCCACTACCCGCCCGCTCCAGGGAGGCCCACGTGGGCAGCAGCCAGCAGCGAAGGAGGCGCGCCTTGCGGAGCGAGGGGGTGTGGCCACACGAGGCGTGGCCGGAAAGCGGGGGCGTCCCCAACAGCCCTAGGCCCCGCCCACTCCCGCCTCTCAGTGCGCGCACCCAGTGGGCAAGGGGTTTTTGGCGGCTTCGCCGGAGGCCGTTGGCCGCGCATGCGTAGCGAGACACTGCAAGGACCTGAGTTGGTGGTGAGCGTTCTTCCCTCTCGCAAACTCCCGGCATCGGCACCGTCTTCCTGCTCATGACTATTCAAACAACGTGGTCTTAAGACACGCATCTCTCGGGCCTCGTCCCGAAGGACCTCGGTCTAGCTCCAAAGCCTTCCAGACGTTTCCCTCCCAGTCCTGGCTCCATAGGGTCTTCCGACTTCTACCTCTCCCTCCCGAAAACACAGCCCGCCCCTCACAGCCCCTCGCTCCCAGTAGGCGCCTTCCCAGCAGGCCCCTTCGCGAGTTCTAGCCACGCCCTTCGCAGGTCAGTGAAGCTGCGGCCTTTGCAGGTACCCTTGCCCCTCCCATCGGCAGCCCCCCCCCCGTAGCCCCCCTCCTTGCTACTCCTCTCAGCCCCGCCCCCACAGGTAGCCGTGCTCCTCCCACCCATTCCAACCCCCTCGCTGGCCCTGCCAGCCCCGCCCTTTACAGGTCTCCGCCCTCTCAAGCCCCGAAGCCCCGCCCCTCAAGGCACACCCAGTTCCTCTTCGCACAGGCCCTCTGCCCCGCCCCTCGCAGGGCTCCCCGCCTCCTAGCCCGTCTGTACACAGCCTGCTACGTCTCCTGAGGTCTCCTGACGTCTCCTGGCCGCCTCGGCCCCTCCTCCTCAGCCTCCCCTCCCACGATCCCTCCTCCCCCGCGCTCCCTCCTCCCCAGCCGCCCCGCCCACGGCCCCGCCTCCCCAGCTCCCTGACCAGGCCCCTCCTCCCCAGCCGCCCCGCCCACGGCCCCGCCTCCCCAGCTCCCTGACCAGGCCCCTACTCCCCAGCCGCCCCGCCCACGGCCCCGCCTCCCCAGCTCCCTGACCAGGCCCCTACTCCCCAGCCGCCCCGCCCACGGCCCCGCCTCCCCAGCTCCCTGACCAGGCCCCTACTCCCCAGCCGCCCCGCCCACGGCCCCGCCTCCCCAGCTCCCTGACCAGGCCCCTCCTCCCCAGCCGCCCCGCCCACGGCCCCTCCTCCCCAGCCTCCCCTCCCACGGCTATTCCTCAAGGCCTCCGTCCCACCCCTGCTGCTGTCCTCAGGTCTCATTGGCCCTTTATCTCCCCAGTAACCAGACCACAACAGTGAGCTTGGAGAACAAGTACAGAGCAGACACTCCGGCAGGTAGGGACAGGGCTCGCTCGCCACAGCCGGCCGGGGTTTCCCCGCTCCTCCGTGTCTCCTTCCCCAAACAGCCACGCCTCAGAGATCCCCAGAGCTCAGGGGACCCGTCCCCCGCGCCCGAGTCAGAGTGGAAGCGCAAGACAGGGAATATGAGAGGTGGGAGGTGGGGAGGGATGTGGGGAGAGGCCTGAGAGGCGCTCCTCTACGACTGATTGGAGGCGTTGGGACTCGAACAGAGGCCAGAGCTGGTTCTGGGGTCACCTTCCAATTCCCTCGCGGTTCGTCCCCACCCTCCTTCCGGCGCCCTCCTGCTCTCTGTATGAAGGGGTTCCCGTGTCGCCCCTGCAGGAGCCCCACCCTCTTCGGCCAAGATGCCTTTGGGACTCTCTGCAGGGAGCGCCCGCACCGAGGATGGAAGCGAGGTCTTCCTGGAAGGAATGGGTAATTCAGACGCTCTTGCTTTTTTTTTTTCCCCCCCAATCATTCCTCAGTTTTCCCAAGTTCTAAGTACTGTGCTGCGGGACACGTGGGGGCGGGGAGGGGGCAGGGAACCCTCTAGCGGGGGACACGCATGAGTGGGAATGGAGGTGGAGCAGGGTAGATGGATAGACCAAGCCTGGAAGTCTTCCTGCAGGAGGAGAAGTTGGCGTGGGGCTTGGAACTCCTCCTCGGAGTTGCCGATGGGAGAAGGAAGGAGGGACGATTGTTTCAGCAGAGAGAACATGTGGCTAAACGGGGTTTCTGAGCCTCCATATTGTTGGCGCTTGGGGTCAGATCGGTCTTTAGTCATGGGGGCTGTCCCGGGCATGTTAGGGCACCTCTGACCTCCATCCACTACATGCCAGGGGCACCCTACCCACCCTGCCCCCATATCCCGACAATCAAAAGTGTCTCCAGACATTGCCAACTTTCTGTGAGTGCAGAATCCCTCGTTGAGAACCACTGGGCCCTGGGAAGTGGGGGGCTAGCTGGCGGACCAGACTGGAGAGGTGGTTAGGCTCAGGTCATATGGGGCCTTGAACATCAGGCCGAGGAGCTGCGGCTTCGTCTGGGGTCCTGGAGCTCCGCTTTGGGTGTAGAAGGACCTTCCGCGGCTGTGAAGGGAGGCCCAGAGGTTGGGGAAGAGGCTGGGGTGATGGTCCGGGCAGGACAGGATGAGGCCTGGCCTTGGAGGATGGGCCGAGAGTGAGGAGGCCGGAGGACAGGGCTGAGGGACTGCTGGGCTCCGGGGCCTGAAGGGGAGAGGGGGGGCAAGACTGTGGGCCCCAAGGTCCAGATCCTCTGTGGCGCGCGTCTGAGGACCTTCCAGGAGCGCCCTCTGGTGGGGAGGCGGATGTGTGCCCAAACCGGGCGTAGACGTGCGTTTAGGGGGAAAACCCAGAGATGAGCTTGGGGTACGCGAGTATCAAGGGGTGAGGTGGTGAGGGATACGGGGACTGAGGTGCAGTGCTGGGGGGCTGTTGGGGCCTGGGTCGGCCTTTCAGCTGCAGTTTGTGGGAGCCAGAATTCCTAGGTCCTGGAGAGGAAGGGCCTGGGGCCCGGATCCCTCCTGAGCCCAGCTGGCTGGTCCCTCCTTCAGCGGATTGGGAGCTGAGCCGACTGCTGCGGCAGTGCAAGGTGATGGAGGGCGAGCGGCGGGCGTACAGCAAGGAAGTCTACGCGCGCATCAACAAGCAACTGTGAGCCCAGGGCCTGGACCCCGGGCTGGGGTGGAAGGGGGCTCTTAGAGGGGCCAGGGGCCGCTTCCTGGGTCAGAGAGGGGAAAAGGCAGGCCCCGCGGCTGGGCTTTAGTGATTCTGAGACTCTGCCCCTTGCTGGCTTGCTGTCCACCTCCCTGCGTGGCCAGGAAGGAGATCGAACACCTGGAGGGGGTACGGGATAACCTTCAGGTCCAGATCAGCGTGGCCCAGAGACAGGTCAAGCGGCTGCGGGACAACGAGAGGCTGGAGAACATGGGCCATCTGCTGAAATGTCGCGTCCGGGTGCAGGCCGAGGTCAACGAGCTACAGGAGCAGACCAGAGCGCTGGACAAGCAGGTGGGTCAGGGGACCAGACTCTGTGGATTGGGATGGTTTTGAGCCTTGGCTTCCCTGTCTGAAAATGGGCTTATTGAAAGCAATCCACGGAGGAGAGTTCTTTTCAGACTCTAACAGGAATACGGGTGTTCGTGCTGAGCACGGTCCCACACTTCCCAGAACGGGGCTGGGGCGGTTAAAGGGGAAAGAAAGCCTCACCTCCTGACATCAGCAAAGCCTGCGTTGGGCTCCTGGCCCTGCCGCGTCCGAGCTGTGAGACCATGGGCAGATCTTCGACCTCTCTGGGCCCTAGTTTTTTTCAACTGCCAAAAGGGGGTATGGGTAATGCCATAGTGCCCACGTAGGTCTTTAATCCCACCTGCCCCAAGATCCTGACCTTGGAAACAGCATGACTTTTCCAGGTCAGGGTTCTTTCAAGGTTCTGCGGCCATGACTCCTGAGGCAGTTCACACGCCTGTAAACGCGCACGTATACTCGAGGCAAAAATTTCACCGGGGAGGAATTATGTTTTTCCAGGTGGAGTTCATTCTGCTATTTTCTGTTCTACACTTCATTAAAAAACAACAACAACAAACGAAGAAGTTGCTTCCCTAGACCAAATGATTTCTTTTTTCTTTTTCTTAAACATTTTTATTTATTATTGAGAGACAGAGAGAGACAGAGCATGAGCAGGGGAGGGGCAGAGAGAGGGGGAGACAGAGAATCTAAAGGAGGCTGCAGGCTCTGAGCTGTCAGCACAGAGCCCGACATGGGGCTTGAACCCAAAAACCGTGAGATCATGACCTGAGTCGAAGTCAGACGCTCAACTGACTGAGCCACCCAGGCGGTCTTAGTGGCTCCTGTCTTTATCTGCTAGGCCAGCAATAGCCAGCTGAGTCTTTCTTATGTACGGTCCCTCTGACCCTCAGCTCTTGTCATTTCCTCTCCTTCTGTGCTGATGCTGATTTTCCTGCCCCCTTCTTTTTTTTTAATTTTTAAAAATCTTTATTTATTTTTGAGAAAGAGAGAGACAGACAGAGAGTATGAGCAGGGGAGGGGCAGAGAGAGAGGGAGACACAGAATCTGAAGCAGGTTCCAGGCTCCAAGCTGTCAGCACAGAGCCCGACACGGAGCTCAAACTCGTGAACTGCGAGATCATGACTTGAGCCCCAAAGTCAGACGCTCAGCGACTGAGCCACTGTGGCGCCCCTCGCACCTTGTTTTTCTTACCTTTGACTTTCAATCAGTTTGTCTGTTCAGCTCTCAGGAGCACCCGGAGCTTGCCTTGTGGGTGCTGAATTCTGATTCACACACACCAAACTTTGGGCTGCTTCATGGTAGGATGCTGGCTTAGGGGTGTTGGCTGCGTGAACTGGTTTTCCTTCATCTTGTATGGAAATTCACCAGAGTAGGGCGATTTTACTATTTTGACCCCATGGGTTCCTTTGCCCAAACGAACTTGATTGTGGAGAACCACAGATCAGGTAGGGGATAGGGTCTCTAGAATACAACTCTGTGAAGTTCCGTATAAAGTCAAGAAAGATGTGCTGGTGGCATTCATTCATCACACAGATAGTTGTGGAGTACCTGCTGAGTGCCCGGCACCGTTCTGGGTGTTGAGGACACAGCAGTGAACCAGACAGGGGTCCTGCGTTAATGTAGTTCACATTCTACTGGAGAGACAGAAAGCAAACCAGATCAAAGCTGAAGAATGAATTTGTTGGGAACAAATCATCGAGATTCAGGGAGGGGCACCTGGGTGGCTCAGTCAGTTGAGCGTTCGACTTCGGCTCAGGTCATGATCTTGCGGTTCGTGGGTTTGACCCCTGCGTCGGGCTCTTGTGCTGACAGCTTAGAGACTAGAGCCTGTTTCAGATTCTGTGTCTCCCTCTCTCTTTGCCCCTCCCCTTGCTCATGCTGTCTCTCTTTGTCTCTCTTAGAAATAAATAAAACATAAAAAAATTTTAGATTCCACCAGAGAGAGACAAAAAGATAGAAACATGGGACAGTGGTTAAGAGACATTGCAGATACGGTGAGGTTAAATATATGTCTAAGGGTTTCAGAAGATTGGGCGCCTGGCTGGCTCTGTTGGTGGAGTGTGTGACTGGATCTCGGGGTTGTGGGTTCGAGCCCCACATTGGGTGTAGAGATTGCTTAAAAAAAAAAATAAAATCCTTAACGTTGATTCATTTTTGAGAGACTGAGAGAGACAGAGCACAAGTGGGGGAGGGGCACAGAGACAGGGAGACAGAGAATCCGAAGCAGCCTCCAGGCTCTGAGATGTCAGCACAGAGCCTGAAGTGGGGCTTGAACCCACAAACCGAGAGATCAAGACCTGAGCTGAAGTCGGACACTTAACCAACTGAGCCGCCCAGGCACCCCCCCAAAATAAAAATCTTTAAAAAGAAAAAGAGTTTCTGGAGAACAGAAAAGAGAATGGGATAGAGATAATATGTGATAAGATAATGTCTGAGAATTTTCCAAAGTCAATGAAAGGATGATTCCATAGATTCGAAGATGAATATAGATATTTTAGTATATAAAAGTAACCATAAAATAAGATAGTACTTTCAAAGGAGCCGCAATGAAATGGACAGCTGATTTTTTTTAGAAGAAATATTGGAAGTCAGAAGATAGGTTATTATACTTCACTGTTCTGGGTGAGAAAGCTGTCAACTTAGAATCTTATACCCAATGAAAATGTCATCCATAAATGAGAGAGAATAGACATTTTCTGGCCATACATATATACACACACATAGATAGATAGACTTAAACATAGTTTGAGAAAAACAATATATGGGTTAATGGACTGACTTTTAAAACTTCCAATCTACTACCGATGGCTACTTGTATAAGGCTTTTGCCTTGACACACACATTCAGAATAGTTCCAAAACACGGTTTCTGATGCTTGCTTAAATTCTGTCTCTCCCTTTCTGAGCCTATCACATCAGAGGCTGATGACAGACAGCTCTTGGACTCGCACTAGTTTATAGCACTCATTGGTCTATGTAAGAAATAAAAAAGTAGGGGCACCTGGGTGGCTCAGTCGGTTAAGCGTCCGACTTCAGCTCAGGTCATGATCTCACAGTTTGTGGGTTCGAGCCCTGCGTCGGGCTCTATACTGACAGCTCAGAGCTGGAGACTGCTTCAGATTCTGTGTCTCCCTCTCTCTCTGCCCCTCTCCCGCTTGCACTCTGTCTCTCTCTCAAAAATAAACATTTAAAAAAGTATTTGATAAAATTCAGCATCCATTCATGCTAAAAACTCATGGAAGGTCACAAGGAAAAAAAGGACATTTCCTGAATTTGGTAAAGGTCAACTACAAAACGTCTACAGAAAATATCATAGTTGATAGTGAAACATGGAAAAAAAAGATCTTTGAGATTAGTAATAATATAATGATGTCAGCTATCACCGCTTCTGTTTAACATTCTACTGGAGGTCCTATCTGGTGCAGTATGGTCAGGAAAAGACAAAAAAAAACAATGTAAACATTGGAGAGGAAGAAATGAAGTTGTTATTGTTTGTTGATGAAGTATTTGTACACAGAAAATCCAGAAGAATCTAACACTAATGTTTTATAATTAACAAGGTATTTTAACAATGTGGCTGGATACAGAATTCATGTTCAAAGTTAATGATACTTCTCTGTATTAGTAATACCTATTATAAAAGAAAGGAAGAAAATACGCATTTATAATAGGCAAAAGAAGTACCCGAGAAAAAATATAACAGAAGTATCTGAGTCTTCTATGGAGTAGATTGTACAATTTTACTGAGGGATATTAAAGAAGAGCTTAATAAATAGAGAGATCTATCCATGGACCAGAAGAATTAGTGTCCTAAAATGCCAGTTCTCCAAAATGATTTATAGATTCAGTGTAATCCCAACCAAAGTACTGAAAGTCTTTTTTTAATGGATGAGCTTGGCAAGCAGATTCTAAGGCTTCTATGGAAGTACAGCAGAGGAGATGACGGGCTGACTTAAAAGAAGAAGAACAATGTGAAAGGATTTGCTTGATCACTTATCAAGATTTATTATAAAACTCTTGTGGGACAGAGTAGAGAGAGCCCTGAAAGAGACCAATGCACATGTGGACATTTGACGCCTGACTTCGGGACATGGGAAAAGAGGACTCTAATAATGGTGCTGTGAAGGCTGGATGTTCATACTGTAAGATGAAACTCGACACTTATCTCTCCTCCAAGCCCCATGACTAATTCCGGATGCATCAGATATCTAAGTGTGTGAAGGTGGGGAAGTATTTCTTAAATAAGTTATAGGAGTCTCTACTTCTAAGGGGAAAAACTGTTACTTCCCATGACTTTAAAGTCAATAGCTTCTGTTGAAAGAGACATAAAGAGTGTGCAAAGAAAGTCATGGAATGGAAATTCACAATGTGTTTGGCTGACAAAGGACTATTACTGAGAACATATAAGGAACTCCTACAAATCATTGAAGAGCCAGCCCAATTCTGAAAAACAGTTAAAGGATTTGAGTTGACACATTGCAAAATCAGAGATTCAGATGTCCAATAAATATAGGAATTACTCACCACTCATTAGTAATCAGAGAAAGGCAAATGGAAATCACAATGAGATTCCCTTAAACGCTCACCAAATTTTCAAAAATCAGTGTCCGAAAATACCAAGTGCTGGGGAGAAAAGTAGCACGTGGGAGCTCCCAATGAACTGTGGGTGGGGACATAAATTGTCACACGTATTCCGAAGTCTTTACCCCCATTATCTATTACATTTAAAGATCGACCTACCCTGGGATTCAGGGTCACACCCGCTTGGCATGGTCACCAGAAGCAGTCTCGAAGGACAGGACAGCGTCAAACACATCTTCCACGGGCCCAGCTGGGTGGTACCACACAAGCGGGTGGGAGTTGCCCTCCTCGGCCGAGGGAGGCTTCACACACAAGCTGTGAGGACAGCGTCTAAGTCTACACCCCAACTCAGTTATAAGAAATACCCCACGGGGAAGCCAGGTTTCTGTTCAGTCCTGCTCA